GGTAAGAAAACTCTAGTGAAAAATTTGGGTTAGTGGCAAAGCTGCCCTCTAACTATTGCATACCGGAACCATCAACAGCAAGGAAGTACAGCAAAGGGGTGCCTTCCTCTCACCTTGCTCATTCAGAAAACACCCCAAAATCCTAACTCAGGCTAGAGGCCTCTCAGGCTCACTCTGCTGTTTACAAATGAGTCAGTAACAGGGGAAGTGGTGGTACTAAATACTGAGCCCCCTAAGCTCCAATCAATGTAAAACACCTCGTTTGAAGCAAAGCATGCTGTTACCTTGTCTTCCTTTGGTGAGAGCAGGCACAGATTTACTGGTAAAAATAAGGAGAAAAATAAACCAAAACCAATATCCTCCCAAAGCAGGGCTCCCCAGGGGCATACATACATACTGCCCTCATCATAAGGGAGCATGTGCAGCCTCCCCACCTACTCATTAGCAGGAAATTTTCTAACACACTGTCAAACAGAATTATCACAAGTTTTATTTTCCTTACTGGTGGAGCTAACTGCATTCTGAAATGTGCTAGCTACATATTTTTAAGCTTGTTTCATTCACTCAGTTCCTAAATCAGCCAAATTTAACAATCTTCAACATCTCCCTGCCATGAGTGAAATTTCTTTTACTACTGGAAAGGAGGGAGAAGGTCAAGAAGGCTTGGTAAAATTTGTTAGGGTGATCTGTAATATGAATTTGGCAGAAAAGAAATCGAACATTTCTTTGGAAAACAAAGGGCAAAGTTTCCTCTCAGCTCTGTGTGGTAATTCACGACTTACATGCTCCAAGGAAACTTGCTGCTCTGATGATTAGAATAACAAACTATTTGCTGTCTGCCTGATAGACCAAAGATGGTCATTTTTCCTCCCTTTGTCAGTATCTTTCTGTCCAGCAGGGCCACTTGTGTGTCCCTTGACACACAGATGAAGACTGAATGATGCATCTCTGCTTAGGAGGATTAATCCAAGTTAGATATGGCAGAAACAGAAGTGACTAATTCTGGCTGAGTCTTATAGACTGACAGATGCTTTCTTTTACCTGGATCTCAGCTGCTCCTGCTGTACATGAAAAGTCAGCATTTTCCTGGTTGTCCACTCTGAAGACACACAAGCCACCAATAAAGCTGAGCATCTTGAAAGCCACTGAGCTGAGGAAATTCGAGCTTTCAGTATCCACTGCAGCTGGAGTTGGGGTTCATTAACAAAACAAAAATGATAGTGTGGAACTTATTGCCATTGAATAGTATGGTGGGCAGGAGCACAGCTGAGGTCAAAAAACAACTAGACAAACTCCTTCAATTTCAATCAATGGGTTCATATTCTGGCTCTGTAAGTTTCTAAAGCACCAGTCCATGGAATGGGTATGCCCTTAGCATGTCCTATTCCTATGCTCTTCACTAAGCATCTCCCACAGCCAATGCCAAAGGTAGCAGCCTGGGATACTTAGATCCTCCTCTGCCCAGATAAGACTTTTTTCATGCTACAATCAATGCAATCATAAAAATAGACAAGAAATTGTCTTGGCTGAAGTTTAAAAGATGGAAGATTCAAATGTCAAGAAAATGTTGTATGAAAGATCTTTAGAAATGGCTGGAAAGAGAGAAATGAAAACTTTGAGACACTCACACAGACCAGCCTCAGTGAAGGGAGGCAAAATCCTGATGCCACCTTTGCAGTCACTGAAGGAACAGGCTCACCTTAAAAGGTGCTGACAGCAACCTCCAGAGGTTCCCACCACGAATGACCATGCACCTCGGCATCCTGAAGTGATACAGCTCCACCAGCCTTACTCCAGGAACACAGAAATACCATGCTCATTTAGGAGAGTAAGTTTTTTGGACCATCCTTCTTCAGAGACTCCTGATGTCAAGGCCACAGGTCTCCCCTCTTGCTCCTCCTACCCTACCTGGCTGGAGTGCTTGTAGCAACTCACCTTTTCTTTTTCTGTTGAATGAGCTGCAGAAACATTCAAAAACACATTAAAAATAAACACAACTCCCAGCAGGCTTAGGCAACTCTGAGTAAAGAATTCTGCATGAACAAACCTCCTGTTTAGTGCACTCTCTGTTGAGTCAACGACAGCACAGGCTTTAATCTCTGGAAATCCACTCTTTCTGCAGCATTACTAATTACACGTTCTGTTTAAGGCTCTGCGTCTGAATGGGACTTGCAATTACATGAGTTGCTGCACCTTTGATTTTTTTTTTTTGCGCCATAACAAAATGGGCCGAAACACTCATTCCAAACATTCAGTTTGGAGATGCTTGTGGTAAGCAGTACAGTGTTTTATCACTGCTGTCATTTCCTTGTGAAAGGTGGTAGAGAAGCAGAGGGGGTTTCATCTTGAACACAGCCCTTCCTAGACTGCCAGCTGACAGAACTTTGTGGTTCTCTTCTGCACTCTTCTGGGACAGCCCAGGGCCAAAGCTGTGCTCCAGAGGTTTTTCAGGTAAAGTACAACATGCCCATCTGGAGGAATGTGTTTGAGTGGTCAGCTGGCTCATGTGCTGAAGAGACTAACTGAAACAGGCCAGTGCTGACTTTGCCCATGTTTTGTGGTCAGGTTGGAAGTGTAGGCTATTGAAGAAAAGGTCTTATTCTCACTTGTGTAAAGCTGAATTTGAAGCCTACACACAGCGGCTTTTCTAAGAAAACAATTTTTCTAGGAATGCCAGTTGCAATTTTAGGAAGGAAACAGTGTGGCAATTTTCAAATTAAAATCAAAATTCGGTGCAAAAGAGAAGAAAGGCTTGAGAAGAAAAGCTCATGACAAAATACTATAAAACAGGTAAAAAACTGTCTTCTCTTCTTGTCTCCTTTCCCATCACTTTCAAGCCAGCTTCTTACTAGAAAAGCTGCTTTCCATCTAAACTTCCATCACACTGTCAGTGTAATGCAGAAAAGCACTGCCTAAAAATAGAGCTTTTCTTTTACTAGAGGATAATTACTAGTTGTGCACTGTCTCATTATAAAATGCTGTTGAAGACCAGGATTTTGCTATGAAGATGCTAAAAAGCGTCTTTTGAAAAACGGTACTGTTGAGAAACTATACTGTTTCATCTGTCCTCTGCCCCTGGAAAACACCACTTCTCTGGCAGGCAAAGTAGAACACGACATCTCTTCCCGTCATTTCTACAAGATCTGCTTTAAACTGAGAGCTCTGTAGGGTGGGGACCCGTTAGGAACTATGCTATGTATGTGCATTGTAAAGAACTTTGTTAGATCAAAAGTGTGGCAAAAAATTCCCAAAAAACTCAAAGATAGTAATACCAAAGCCTCAAGTGTAGGTCCCAGGAATGACAGTGTAATTATTTTTAGAGATGACTACAGCAGTAACTCAACATGACATGAGAGACTAGGGAAACAGCAAGCCTTTTAAACCAAGGGGAAAGCCAGGAATACAGAATGGAGACTGTTCCTAATGCACCATATTGCATCTGAACATTTTGTTCCTACCCATCACTCCAAAGCATGATGTTTTGCATTTCATATTAACATTCTGAAGACATTAAAAAATTCTTCAATTCGATGTTCATATGCTGTGTCAGAACTCACACTCCAACTGCTTAGAGAGATGCTATGTCTACCTTTTACTCATCTTCCCTCCCTCAGGCTCCTAACCATCCTCCTTCCCACTCCCAAAAAATCCCATGGTCTATTCTTTATTGGTAGCATTATTTAGTTCAGCAGCAAGTTGGTTATGAATACAGTTTGTGGGATTTGGACTTTACTCTGGATTTCTGCACTACCTCAGCTGTTATGCATATGTACTAAGACTGACTGCTAACAAATCACAGTAATACTTGAGGTTCATATACTATTTCTCATCTTCAAAGTACTTTAAAATTTCCTAGAGGTTCTACAAAATCTGGGAGAGAGAGAAAGAGCTATGGGCAAAAGTCTTTGTTTAGCATTGGTCTTAATATAAACCACAGTTAGTCCCTTTCCGTTTAGCACTAAACCAGGAATGTTGAAGCACTCAGATTTAGGTCTGAAGTGCTAAACAATGCTAAATTGCCAATAACACATTTTCACTAAAAAGTATTTAAAATACTCTTTGTCATATGGACAGCTCTCTTCAAAAGTTCTGTTCTCACCTTTGAGTTCAAAACTAGGAAAATGGTGACATTAGCATAATGTGTTCAGAGATGGATTTATGCATCAAAATAAAGGACATTTTGATTTCAGAAAGTTTTGTTAACAAAAAAGTCATATTTCATAGGAATAAAACAACAAAGAACATAACCAGGAATCAAAAATATTTTTTAAAAGGTAAAACTAATAATGTTTTACTAATTCCTTCAGTGTTCGAAGCAGAACAGTCAGCTTTTAACATCTGAAAGGACGCTCGCACTAATTTTCTGGCCAGCAACAGAAACAGCAATCAAGAGAAATTGGAAGTGAATCATTACAGGCCTTACTTCTCCTTATCATGTACCAGGGGAAGAATTTTTCTCAGTGCATGAGACTAAGTAAAATGTTCTGCCCCCTTCAACCAGTGAACCATTGGTTTGCAGGAGCTTCATGGCCACTCTGGACATGCACTCTGCAGAGCGCATCCAGGCTCCTGGTGCCCAGGTAAACCTACTGGGTGTTGTCTTTAGCTGTGGGACCACTTCCTGCTGAGCACAGGAATGACCTGTCCAGCTGCACACTCAGTGCTGCACTCACCAGGAGCAGCCTCTGAAAGTCAGGCAGCATCAAATCAGACCTTTTAGGAGAACTGCTACAAGCTATGTTCTTATTTTGACTGGCTGAGTCAGGCTTGCAAATTTTTTTCATTTACCACCATCAAAAAATGAGGATGAAATTAAATGAAATCTAACTTTTTTCTTAGTGGTAAATAAATATGAAAATGTAATGAATAAAATACTCTACTTCTCATGTATTCTACCAAACACGCAATCAAAGCATGACTTGTATTTCACACACTTTCTAGGGCACAGAGTTCTGTGACACAATAAATACAGGCTGCAAGTTTGAAACATACATGTTCAATCAGTTCTTCTGAGGTCATTTATTTGATTGGATTCCTTGTGAGCATGAAACATTTCTATAACATTTCTACAATGGCTGACAAAATATGGAAACATTCTCAGATGAAAGGATACATGCATTCCAGAAACAATTCCACTGAAATCTAAAGGAACTCTTCTTGAGAATACTGAAGTGCAAACTCTTCAGTTATGCAATTTTAATATGGTGGAAAGAAAGAAGTGTAAGCTATTAAATTTGTTTTAAAGCTTAGGAAGCAAATTAAAACAAAAGAACATATATATTATTAATGAATAGCTACAGTGCAAGGTGGGTAATTACATGTTAATTAAATTCTCTCCTTATTATATCTGCAGTGCTTCAAAATTATGTTTCCTCTCTATGTATTTTCCTTGTAGCAACATTTCCTGAAAAAAACATAGGTTTAAAGCAGAAATTGTTAAGTATTTCACAACTGGAAGAATGCAACTGCAGCTTTTTTTTTAAAGTTAGAATTTGTACTCAGAAATAAACTGAACTTCAACATGTTTTAATTATGTGTCCATCTGTTTATAATCTTCAACTTAAGTCTAAACTAAGCAACAACACTGGCAGAACACCGTAAATTTGAGGGACTGGAATGAAATACTTCCAGGTAACTGTTAACAGAACCATTTTCCTCTACACAGAAATAATTTGGGTCAGGTAGCAAACCAGCCTCCGTGTGTGCCGTCCCCTACTGCCCAATTCCTGCAAAACCCAACATCACCTTTCTTATCTGGCTGTTTAGAACTTTTCAATTTTTCTGTTCTCCAAGTCTAAGCTTCTTCCTGCATTTGTAGCTTTTCATTTAAGTCTGCCTGTAAAGAAAATCAGAAAAAAGAAGTGGTTATGATGGAGCTATCTCAGACTCACATTGTCTTTTGGTTCTGACACAGTGTACTGCAGCAAGGCAGACAACATCCTCTATACCTTCCTGTTTAGCAGACAGAATGGTGTTTCAGCCTGTCCTTATGTGATAACACGTTATCATATTGCCGTGAACAATTCCAAAGGATGGCATGGCAGCCATGAGCAGGAAGTGATCAGGGACAGCCATTCCTCATGTAACCTCGTCTTGGGAGATAGGCTCATTTTCCTGTATTCTCAAATAGCCTTTACCAGTAGACACCAAATCAGAAAAATTGCTTTGGGATCTGGTTGTTGCTACTGTTTTCCTTTGCTGCAGATGTTTGTTCTCTAGTGTAATGTGTTTTATTGAAATAGTGCTGGAATTAAAAAGCATTACTGAAAATGAACAATAAAAAACTGTATTTCTGTGATGCTGCTTGTCTGTCTTAATTACATACACAATTATGAATATGTATCTCATTCTGGAAATCCAAACTGCTGTAGACATTAAGTGTTTAATTTGTAATGTAACATTTGTGGGGAAGGTACAGAGGTTTGGATGGATTCGAATGAAATCTTTGACAGTCACAATGCATAGCGATCTCTGATTGTATGACATTTGGAAATGTGGGATCACTGGAAAAAGGGCCACAAACACTGGTATTTTACAAGTAATTTATGTATATTTTTCAGTATGAGCATTGATTACTGCAAAAATACAAGACAAATGGAAGGAGTGCAATGACAGTATTTCTAAGTAAAATAAAGTTATAAAGTTTTGTTCAAATAACTGGCACAGGCTCACAGGTCTTTTACAGATTCTACATAAAGTGTTTCAAAACTCAGAGTTACACTCTTAATGGAATTCAGGTAATTTTGATAAAGCAAATGGATTTGTACCAGAAGCGCTTGCAGTAACTTGACATTTTAGGAACTTTGTGGCTTGCCAGTTCTAGAAATTCCTATTAGTGCTATTCTGCAATATATCAATGGGTAACCACATCTGAAATGTTTACAAAGTTCTCAGTAGCTCAGATTAGAATCAAAAGGCTGGAATTTCTCTCTCAACTTTGTATCTTTGGAGAAGGCCTTCACCATATTCAATCCGAGTACCAACAAATATATATCTTCATCTCTTTACATGATGTGCGTACTTGGTTGCTGGAACAGTGATCCTCTAGGCGAATCAACTCCCAGCCACTCCAAACGCCTTTTCTTCTCCAGTTTTTACATACCTCTGTCTCTGGTCCTACCTCCACTAAAAATTGTCTGCCTCCACACTTCGCTATGGCTGCTGCTGAGACCACTGAGTGTCAGCACTGTGATATCAGACTAGAAGTTATTTTCTAGACTCAATTAGAGCAACAGCTGCCTTGTTAATGCATATGTTAAGACATAATGCAGATTGTGAAACCATATTTCACACGTAATAAAAAATGGTATGAATTTGATCATGAATCAGGTAAAAATCTAATTGTAAGATTACTTCAGAAGTCAAGAAACTGAGAAAACAGGTGAAAATGATACACTGGTGAAAGAATTAAAACCTGAGGGGAAATTATTTTCTTTGTATACAACTAGAGTTGCAAAAAGAAGAAAAAAATAAAGCATTTTTCTCATCTGTGCGGTCTTGTAAAGAAAAAAAAAATCAAGGTCAAGTGAAAACCAGGTATTTAGTCTTTTCTATTGGTACAGACAGGAATAAGGTAACACAGGCCCATTTCTAAAGACATGTTGAAATGGAATATGAACTCAAATAGGTAGATCTAATGACCAAATCTATTCTAATTCCTACAATAATTAATATAATTATTCTAATTCATATTCCCTACTGATGCATAGTCCAAGTAAAGCAATTTACCAATAGCACAGTATTTTCAGACAACATTAGGTATTTATTAAACTGCTGCTTAGTCAATAGTGTCTAATATGCTGTATCTGAAGTTCAAAATGCCTAATGCCACCTGGTTATTGCCATTAAGAGCAAATTCCAGCAGCTCCTTGGTGCAAATCTGTTCTAGCAGGTTGGCTTTCAATCATTTACTGTTCATTCCAGTGACAGTAGCTTCCTTCCCTTCCATGAATCTCACAGAAAGAAATCATGGACCCCTCAGAGTCTGTAGACCACATACTGACAGCTGATCTGTTTCATTATTGGCAGCTCTTGTGTAGTCACACACCTACCAGACAAAGCCTAAAATTGGTATAAGTGAGTAATTTCTCACACAAATTGAAGGACGTGTGGTATAGATGCAGCTAACAATTTATATTATGCACACATTGCATATACTCCAGCACAGCAGCTGGTCCTGAACCTCTAAGAAGGAATTTTATCACTGACATCACTGAGAACAGAATTTGGCCCATGCTTTTGACACATAGTAAGGCTGAAGATATATGTTGTCATATTACTGAGTATTTTTTTATTTTATCATATGTAAGCTGACTAAACTAGGAGTTATTTATAGAGGCTAATTCACATTTTTACAGCATATGGATGTGCTTTTTGCCAGCTTTAGCACAAACACAGTTTATATTCATTAAGACTGAGCTAGCTAATTAACCATAGACAGAATTAGTGAATAGCTTTCTAGTAATAGTACCTCAAGGTTGTCAATAATTTCATTTGGGATTTCCCACACTGCAGACTTCTCATCTTTAGCAGCATCACCTACAGCATCCGCCTTGGAAGACACTGCCTCTGGACAGGGCCCTTGCAGGTAATCTCCCTGGTCAGACCCCTAGCAGCAACCAGCCACAGGAAACACTGAGTTAGAACATTCTTCTACCCTCTACGAGACCCAACAGCACAAACACAGACAGGCAACAACACACAGAGCTGCTTTCAGAAAGTGCTGCCTTGACAGAGACCATAGTGGCTGTCTCACACTGCCTAGGCTAGGCAGACACATCCACCCACAGAGCGAGAGCCCAAAAGGGCTCCACTCAAATAAATGTCCTCTGCTGACTGATTAATGCATTAAAAGTGATTTCATTTAATCTTAGAAGAGAATGCGTGCTATGTTCTAGAGAATAAATGTCATCAGTGACTGGGATCCAAGGGAAATTCATAGAAAAATCACTTTTAAAAAAAAACCCAAAAATCTAAAAGAAACAAAACTATACCTGAGATTCTGTCGCTGAAGCTGAGGAGGAAGCTGCAGGTTGGTCAAGTTCAATCTCAATCTGGTAGTAGTAAAAGATAAAAAAAGAAAAAAGAAGAAAGTAATTTATGTTTAATTATTGCTCAGGGGTTTCTTGCAGTTTTTTTAAAACTGAAATGGAATGGCTGGCAAACAACAATAAACAATACCTTTTCTATTACTATCCAGGTGCTCAGAATTGGAAAGCATTCTGAAAATGATTACAGATTAGTTTTAATTTCTAGTTGCATCTCAAGGGGTCCTCTTTATAATGCTTGCAAAGAACAGACAATTTTCATAATTTCATAACACTACAGCTTCTTACTCATGTGGATAATTGCGTTTAGAAAATACAGTGCTTAGGTGACATTCTGCCTTCCCAGTGCAAATTTGTCACGTCTGAACAGGGATGCTGTTGCAGTTTGGAATTGCAGGGGAGTATCAAAGGAGTCAGCTGGAGTGAAGTTGCAATGACACTAAATCAAATAAGGCCCTAAGGAAAATATTAAAATATGTAACTATAATTTAGGAGTTGTTAATGGTCCAAGTTTTGCTGCTTCATTTTGTTCCTTTTTTATGACCATGAGAACCTCACTTGTGTTCTGCTGGTGTGTGACCTGCAGCTCCAGGAATGCTCTGACAAGGGTATGGCTTTTCCTCCTCAGAGCAGCTGGATGAAACGCCAAGTCCATGCTCAGGTTCTCAGTAGTGATGCAGGAGGCAGCCCTGTGTCCTCTAAAGGGAAAAGGGTTTGCATCCCATTTAAAAAAAATGAATGACAGAGAACATATGTGCCAAATAGGGTGAAAAAAAGGCATTTGTGACCAAGCAAGGAGCAGGGTACAGCACTGAAATGGTGTGTTTGGGGCGTCTACAGGGGAAGCGCCCATCGAGAATATAGGCAGATCCTCCAGTTCAGAGTCAAATCCTGATTACAAACATGATTTTTCTTGGATGGTGTAAGTAAACGATATTAATTCACATTAGGGTAATTGCAGCTCCCTTAAATTAATTTCCTCATATTTTAGAAATTGTAGCTAGGTTGATATTTGGGTCATCTAGTTACTTGATACAGTTAACGTGCTGAAAATATTAGAACTTCTATACATCTGCAGAAGTGATAGCAACAAATGAAAATAAAAAATTAGACCTAGCCACTTCATTACAATAAAAATCTCTTTTGTATTCCTAAAGGCTTTTCAGAATTTCTGTTTGGACTCTGTCACTTACCTCCAAGGTTCCCTGTTATGTGTGAGCTCAGTAAAGTAGGTAGATAGTAGTAGCCCATATTTAAAAGAACCTAAAAAGTTGACAGCAAGATTTGCAGATTATAACTGAGGAGAAAAACAGTTATAGAAGCATTTTCCTCTATCACTTGTAATTTAAATTTTCAGCACTTTGTCAGTGCCTACGTACAAAAGAAATAGTCAGAAAGTTTGGGTTTTCTATCAGAATGAAAAAACTGAACCAAATTGTATTTCTTTCAAAAATAAAGACACTTTATTTTCAAATCCTACCTTTTTAAAACTAGAGCTTTTTAAATTTAGCAACTATTTCAAATTTCTCTGATTTCTTACCTTATATTTTCTTATTAAAAGCATTAGCTGAAGTAGATTAGAATTCAAAATTACTTCTAATTCCTCAAAATATTATTTTTTGCTTGGCTAGTTAGCTATTCACTCAAAATATATTTTTTAATTTAAATTATTATTCCATTTATTCTCTTCAGTCTAATTTTTTTTATAAAGTAAAATTATGCAAAAAAATAGACCAGGTTTTTAAAATCAATTCCAAGCCAGTCAAATACATTTTTGTTGCACGGATAAGATTTTCAGAGGTTCTGTTTTTCGGAATAATATTTTTACCTCACTCTTTTTACAGAGAGCCATTTTCTACTCATCTGTTCCATGTCTAATAATAACCCTTGGATCACCAAGAAATAACTAAATTACAACAGAACTAGTCTCTTTAATGAGGTATAATAGTCCCAACATTCAGTCAAAAGTTTTTTTAAAGACTGTGAAACTTCAATGTAGAATATGAAGCATTTTGTTTAGTAATAACAAGTTTACGAGCAGGACTACAGTTTACAGCCAAAATATAGTGACCTAAAAATGCCATTTTGCATTGCTCTTTCCTATACATTGTGTTCTTAACAAATCCAGGGGAAAATTAGAATGAATGAATGATGGTGAGAGCCCAAAGCCAGCAAACTTATTTAAATTAATCCTTCTGATGCAATACTTTCCTTTAAAAAGTACAATTAAGTCTTTGTGTTTCCTTGAACAAAACCTCATGTTTAATAGCACCAATGGCTCTGTAGTAAAATCTATTTTAAAACAGAGGAGACACAGTAAGTTTTATACAGTTACAGAGGCTTTAAAAAAAGGTTGCTAGTTTCTGAAGTCTGAGTAAATTTATGGTGAATTATTTCCACTGACCTACATTAAAAATTTCACCCTCCTTTTTTTAATTCCTGAAGATTTGTCATTATGTGAGCATTATTCACTATAACAAAGACGTATTACTCCAAGTGTCCTCTTGAATCAATATAACTATTGAAATGTGAGAAACAGGTTGGCAAGATGATAATGCCTTAAAAATTAATTGGCAATATTTTCCTGCACATTGCAGTCCAGTGGGTCCACAGGAATTCAAACATAAAGACATTGTGAGCCAGTTGCACAAATGTAGCTGGCATATCAGTGTCAGCTGCTCTGAAAGAGATTGAAGGGACAACTAGGTGCACTATTCTTACCAATTCTGAGGTGAGGTGGGGTGCCAGGAGGCAACTTAGCCAGGAGAAGTCAGCTCAGCTTGACATGGGACTAATGGGTCAGCACCACTTCCCTCAGCCCAGTGGCACCAGCCCAACTGAGAACTGCAGCTGGTGCAGACACTGCTCTCAGAGCACAGCCCTGTACCACAATCCTGCTCTGGAATTCATTCTGGTACAAGTGGGCATAAAGACAGGTTTGTATAAAAAGTGCTGTGTTGTTCTGTACATAAACTCACACGCTGTTCTTGTTGTTGAGAGGGAGCAAATTGCCTTTTTACAAACATAGGCAGGGAAAAGACAGGAAAATAGTACACAGGGAAACTTCTGAAACAGAATAATGGCAGGAAAGATTGGTAAAGTGTTCTAATAATGAGTTCCACAGATGTGGTAGTTACTATAAAATTAACTTTGCATAACTTACCAATATACCATTACATTTTCTCCCAGATGTTATTTGTTACTTAAATTAATTTTGCTTAAGTTACCATTATTGCAGATTTTATCCATGCTGTATTTTATTATTTAAAGTTTCTGTGGCATGTAACAAGCCCTGGATGATAGTGTTACTTTTAATAATATATATAAGTGGTTTTAGTATTATAGAAATGGCTGCTGGGTATATGTTAATAGTCATAGCACAGAATGTCTGCTCTCAAAATATTAAGTAGATTAAAACTAGCTATTTACTAACACTCTAATTGAGGGCATTGGAAAGGTTTGCAGTATTTACGTATGTGGTATGAAGGGGAACAATCTACTCCAAGAATAAATACCAGAGCTTGGAAATTAGCAAAGCTAAGGTCAAGGTCAGTTTAGCTTTACTAACGTGCTTGCTGAACATGAGAATTCAGAGTTTATGTTTACTTATTTCATAAACAAGAAAAAAGACTGAGGGGGTAATGCATTTGCCTCTTTAATAGAAGGCTTTTGTATCACAGAAATATGTTAAAACCACCTTTTCAGCTTGATATTACCTGCAATTCTGTACTCCTTTCCACACAGTCTTAACATAAATTCTCTGCAGCAAATCTTACGAACACAGGAAAATAATTATTTATAAGGACTGGGAAAAAGATCCCACGTTTAACATGGACCATTTCTAAAGCCTTGTAACATCTTTCCAAGCCTTTCAATGGATATGGGTTTGATTTATACAAAGGGCAGATGAGTTTCAAAAAGGGAGCCCTTTGTACATTATTCTCTATATTCATATTACCTGTGTAGTTTGTACTTGTATGCCACGGGACCTTATGCTACCAGAGGCCTGCATAGGTTTCTCTCCCATATATGTGAGATATGCTATCAAACAAACTCTGTAATACAGGATTTACATTAGTTTGCTATTCGTGCTAAGCATGGCCGGCCACACACCTACAGATGTGCTGAATTTCAGCTGCTGGAACAAAAGGCACTTATAAGAGGTGGTTTATTGGATGCCTGTATTTAATGTGATTGAATTTGAATGAGTACCTAATGGACAAAGATGCATTGACTCAAACCAGCCTTACTTTTAAAAATCCTTCCCCTTTAACCTGTCAGCATATGCAAACGCAACTAATTCACCCTGCTTGCCTGCAGAGGCATCGCCCACGAGCGTTCCCAGAGGAGGTTCCTGGGAGGTTGCTGATAGCTCTACAAATACATCTGCCATCTTCTTTTGCAGTAATTTAATGCATGAGGTCCAAAAGACCAAAGGATTTTATGAAGCACTCAAAAACTTAATCCAGATATCAGATCTCTGTGGTGTGACTGAGGTGACAGAGCGTCCTCCTGCACACCCTTGCTACACACATTTGTATTAATATTAAAAGTAGAATTAAGATCAATGAGAGCCTAAAACTCTGTCTCTGAAGGATGTTCCCTGGTTGCTAATGATGCACATGGAAATTCTGTGTGTGTGTTCCTCGGCAGGAGTTTTTAAACCACTATTCCTAAAAGAGACAGAAGTTTAGTGAGGCAAAGTTAGGCTTTATGCCCTTTTACTCATTTCAAAATCCAAATTACTATGTTCTAAAAGAGTTTTCCATGTTTCTAATCTGTGATGTGAATTGACTTTGTTGATAATACATTTGTAAAGAATCTAGTCTAAAATAGCTATTTGAAGCAATCTGGTGCCTACATTGATAAAATAGAATCTCCTCCTCCCCCAGGAAGCTACAAATCAGTCAGTGACATCTGGCCTCAAGGACATCAGAGTCATCTGAAATGTGGCAATTTATATTAATGAACATCAATATTAATTTTTAAATAAAAAGAATTTGCTA